TTTTATGGCCAAAATAAAACTTTGGCCAAAATACACTACCCTAAAAATATAGCACTTTCACCTGCTTTCAACATTAATTCAGGTCCTGCTTTGGATAAGAAATAGAAGGTAATAAGAGATACTCGTCCTCTCTGTTCTGTTCTTCACATAATTACCAACAGCAATGGTTAACATTTCCTTCCAGAGAAAAAGTTCATGTTTCTTTCTGGAGGTCTTTCACCTACTACCATACCTTTGAGAAGTCAAGAACTACCTAAGACAAGAAACCCAGGGCAGAACTCAGATGCAAAAAGTCAGTATTTAGGAGGTAGAAGATGATACAGGCTACCAAGGAGGGATTTAGAAATCTTCACATACACAAGTAGGTGTGATGTTAGAAAAGCCAAATCTCACCTACACCTAGTAGTTGGAAGGGACACCAAGCGCAGCAAGAAGAGCTTCCACTGCTACACTGGCAGTGGAAGCCATCTGTGGATAAACCAGAGAGTGGGAGATGTCATTTACCCCAGCTTCAGCATGGCTTCCACACTGTCTCCCTCAACATTCTCATAACCAACACCTTCCAGCCTGGACAAGCTAAATGTGTTAAAAAAACCCCAAAAAACAAATGAACAGAAACACCATGGTGAGGCTCAGAAGGCAGGGGATAATGGGTGCCCCTCCCTGTGGGTGAGTCCTTCACTGACCCAGTGGCACCAGCCATGACATATCTATTGCTGTGGACACAAGCCTACTGCTCACACTCAAAAACATTCCTGCTGTTTTATAAATATGCCATGCAGCCTGGCAAGGAGAGGATTAGAAACATGCATCTGGAATTTATCACCTCATTAAAAGCCCCAGTGTGATGGTAGCTAACAACTGAAGGAAAAATAAACAGAAAAGACCTACGGGACTGATCAGTCACACTAGGAAATACACTTGATTCTGCAGTGAAGGAGACATCCACAATCATTCCAATGAAACTACTACTCATCAGCAAAACATAAGGCAGTCTTCCCTCTCCTATTCATGCCCAACTTAGAAATGGAAAAACAGCTGGAGTATCTTAAGTGCTGCTGGCATCTGCCTACATGGAAGGTGGTTTTGCAATCTAATGCATTCTCTCTGTTACTATTCACATCATTGCCATGGAAGAAAAGTACTTTGACTGTTTCTTCTGCCAACCATCAGCACATCTGAGATAAGGCTGAGCTGGCTTACTTAAGTGAGAGTGGGATGAGGATCCTTGTAGAGCATCAGTCGAGTCTCTTGAGACAACTTTAAATTCTGAATCACTTTCTGTGCATCCACACAAGGAGACGTATGATCTAATTCTTTAAGCAAACTCAGGAACAACTTGGCTCCCTGCTTTTCCAAAGGATAAGAATTAGACTCCATTGACTAATTCCTTTCTCTGCTTTATATTTGCTTACTTATTTTTCTAAGTCATATTAAAAAAAAACATGTAGTAGAAAAGTATCTAACTGACAACAATCTCTGGTGACTCAAGCAACAGGGACATGGAGAACTGGTTGGATGGGTTAGGGAAATAAGTTCAGAGCAGTCTTTGAAATTGTCTGTATTAAGGACAGAAGACCAGCATATGCCTCTCAAATTCTTGGTAAACTTTCCATGTTCACTTCTGGTCTGAAATACGCTGTACCTTACTCCCATAGGAGAGGGAAAAGATTTTGGAAAATTATCAATTTCTCAGTCTAGCCTTAAGAAATGGAATTACATTTGGAAGAAACATGCTTGAATTAAACTAAAGCTTATTGAAGATATATGAAGGATGGAATAACTATTTTTATCGGAAAAGTATTATTTTTAAAAAATACTAATACCATTAAATAATTGGACAGAAAGATGTATCATTAGTTCTGGAACTGTGATCTTCAACCTTTGCCCTAGCTGTTAAGATGGAAAGTATAAAAGACAAGTTTTAAGAAAGTTTTGAACAATATCTCCAAAAGATTTTTCTTTTTAAAATTATTATGCTGGAAGGCAGATTGAATAAAAAAAACACTGAAAAAAATTAAGCTCCAAAAGAGGAACTGTCATATAACTGCAAGTTTTAGCCACCCAAATCTAGCTGAATTTCCAGAACACTTCTTTCGGCACACTGTTCCTCTGGCTTAGCAGACACATTCTTATCTGTCTTTGGATGGCTGAAGTAGAGCCTTTACAGGAAAGATTAACTCAGCTATCTTGCCTTTAAACTTTGGAGAAAAGCAAACCACCACTTTATATGACAGTCCACCGGACTTCTATTGCTCTGGGTAATTTAAAGAGAGGCAGGCACCTTCCAGGAGGATGTGCCTACCCAGAAGTGATAAGGCTGTAGATGGGCCAGTTCAGGGATACCTCGGTCCCAGCATGCCCTCGGTCCCCCCATCCCCATGCATTTGTGGATAGACACAGCACTTGGCATTTCTGAGCTGACATGCCAACCTTTTCATTATAATACCAACTGTCTCCATTGGAGATGTGACATAGTGCCAGCATGGGACTGGATTCACAGGAAAATCATTAAAAAGGATTGCATTGCTGGCTTTCCTAAGTCTCCAAAGATAGTCTCGAGACGAAAGGAGAGACTACATATATTAACTGGGGAGAAAAAAGTCTGTTCACAAAAATTAGTGATAGAAACAAGTGGAATCTACTGCAATCTCCTTTAAATATAAATCTAAATATATCTGCTTGGCATGGACTGTTGCTACAGAAATGGTAAGATAAAATAAAACCCTTTTCACTATAGCACACCCCAGATCTAGATTCACACAGAGGAGGCACTCTCAGGACAAAGTTATGCATGATGCCTTTAGATAATTTAAATGTAACCATATGCTGATGGAGACGATGCTATTCATGCCTCCTCCCCCACAATATGCAGAATACTCCCTTCTTCCCATTTCACCAGTGTTTGCCAAAAACTATACCAAGCTGATTCAACACCGACTCGAATGTGCTAAAATGAACAACTTTCTGTGGGATTAGCAAATTGAATTCATTCAGTGAAGGGTCAAACAAGTGCTGAAGCAATGGGACTTCGCCCTAAGATATTGAGATTGGAGTTGAGCCTCTGTTCCACCACAGAGGTGTGAAAAGACAGCACAGGTAGGAAGCAGCTGGGGACCCTGAATAACAGAAACTGACATTGCAGAAGTAACAAAGTAGAACAGCTCAGGTACCGCAGACATGCACGACCTTCCTACTGCTTTGATGCATCCCCCCTTTAACCCTGCTGGGCTCCTGTGCACTAAATACCCTCTCCCTGTTCCTTCACTTGTCACACATAGTATCTGTGCTCTGAGCTTTACCATCCCCAAATCCTTATCGCCTTTCCCTAGTGTTTCTTCTTGCCCACTTAAACTCATAATCACAACAACAACATTAGCATTAACAGGACACTCATCACCCCTGGGACAACTGCTGAGCACACACATCCTGCCCCTTCCCCCTTCCTTTTTCCAATGACTTCCACTACTCAGGAGGGTGGCAACCACGACACTTCCATGCAATGACTTGGCTAACACGGTGCTGCAGTAACTACCACAAAACACTCAACAACTAGTGACAGTCTTCTGATTGACTTGACAGTGCCAATATAGAACAGGATTTTTTTTTTTAGCCCTTTTTTTTTGGAGGAATCTGTATGTACACAAAGGATCTGAACCCAATCTCTGGATACCCAAATTCCAAGTAGCCACCCCTTTGTATTGCCAAGGGAGACAAACACTATCTGTAAAATCTCGTGGGCAGAAACCTAAGCAAAACACCAAGGTGATGATGAATAAGACACTCCTGAATGTCAAGGTACAGTGGGATTTTTGTAATTTTGTGACATTCCAGCTTCTTTCCCACATTGCAGAAAAGCAAAATAAAATGTAGGGGGAACCAAAGTCCCATTGTTATTAGCATGCAAAGAAAATGAACTTATTTAAATTCCCCCATCTGTTTTGGCCAACCATTTATGAGTAATTCTCCACATTTCAGTCACCTGAAAAAAGGACAGTTCTAGGCACAAACACTTCCCAAGCAGTTAATATCCAGGATCACAGATGATTAAATCATGGTGTTTCATTCTTTCTGTGGGCTTTGTTTTGCAACTGGCTTCCTGGCTGCTTTTTGTCTCTTCCATTTCGCTCCTGCTTCTGGCAGATGAAGTGGAGGTGGAAAAGAAAAGGGAGGGAAGTTCTTGGGTAGCATAAGGATTACAATAATTTCCAATCCTTCAGCAAGAAAGAGCTTGCTCAGGGAACAGATAACCTAATGCTTTTCCACCCTGCCTTTTTTTTTTTTCTAACTTATGTTTACAGTTGTTTGCAATTATAAAGTTATACAACCAGGTAGAAAGTTTACTACATTTATCTCCTTTCTGCCCCCAAACCCACAATGAATGTACCTCCCATCCACATATTTCCTCCACTCTTTTTGCCATTGCTGTGGGCAATATGAAACAGAAAACTGCAATTAGAGAGATCCTCAGCCACATACCTACAGGTCACTGACATTTGGTTCGTACCCAAGCTTGATGTGAATGCAGATGCCACTCATCAAAAGGACAGTTATGCCATGGATAACAAATGATCTCAACTCCCTAAATTAAACAACAGTACTAGCACAGGGACAAAGTTACTTTCAAAGCATTCAAGGTATTCTGTCTGATTACCTGTCCTTGTTCAAAACAAAGGGAGAACTGTCTTCACATTAGTCTACTTATGTTTCCTTTCAGTGCTCTGAAATAAGAGCTATTCAAGTACTTGAGTTTTGTTTTCAGTTGGAAAGGTCATCTGGGGTGTGTGGCAAAATGAATCTGCACACTTTTTTCAATAAGGAAAAAGGGAGAGAGACGGGTTACAAGGAAGGAGGGAAATGAAAGTTTACTGCATCTTCATTTTTGAATTTGCAAAAGTCTCAGATGAGTTATAGAAAAAGTATAATTAGTAAAAGAGCAACAGTCTAAGAGCCTACAGAATCTAATTCTCTTTGGAAAAAGAAAAGCAATGACTACTTACATATAATATGTAGGATATAATCCTTCAAAGTACCAGCAATGCTTTTTGGCCTCTGTACACTGCAAAGAAAGAAAAATATGGTATTAATATTTACATAGGATGATTTATAGCTATAAACACAAGCTTAGAGTATTTATAAATACTGTGACTCCGAGCAGTTAGGAGAGGTTTATACTCCCAAAGATTTCCCAATCCAGATACGCACAGCAAGCGGGAAGTCAGTTCACGTAAATGGCAGTGTGTCCTGCCAGGATTCAGATCCCTCACACAGGGCTTTGTCTGCGGGGCCCCACCAGCTTCCCAGAGCTCCCAGACAAGTCAGTACATTTGGCACAAACCCAGGATCCAGCTGCACGTGTTCCATGGCAGAGCTGTTGCCTTAAAATCACAGACAACTTTAGAGTCCATGGCGGTCATAGCCCCTTACGTGACATCCAAGGCACAAGCAGTGTGATGATACCACACGAATGACTGCACAGTAAATTCAAGTCACAGGGAATTATTCATCTTGCTGGAAGTGTGTGGCATCCAGAGCCAGGCTCAGGAAGGAGCAGAATAGAGAACCATCTATCCCATCTCCTCTTCCTACAGCCTGGAAATGCCTCAAGTGTTCATTAAAGCAGTGGGGAAAGGAAACTGCTTTCTGCAGCTCAGAGGTACTGTTCTCTTTTGCAGATTGCCCTGTGAAAGGCCTGGACAGGCATTTCCTCAGCACGTGTGTGCCAGCCACGTGAGAAGTGCTCATCCTTACGGACACTGCCCGAGCACAGGCGGCAGCTCGGAACAATAGCGGCCCCAATAAAGAAAACCAGATGTCAAGCTCCAACTCTACACAATGCACCAAATATTTCTGTGTATCCCACTGACATCACTAGCACAAAATGCCATCTTCACTGCAGACACGGCTCCAGTAGCTCCCCTGCAAGCTGGATCATCCCATCACTCATGGGCAGGGCACTGTGGGACATCCACTGCAGAGCTGTGAGGAATATCTGGGGTTTTAGCCACAATTCCCTCTGCTGCTCACACCTGACCACAGAGAGCCATTGGCACACTGCCAGCGTTTGGATCATTCTTCATGTTCACCTGGCAGCTCACCTTTAAATAATAGCTCGTTTAAGTTTATTAGCCTTCCCAAATCCCAGAATACTAAATGAATCCAGTTAAGACAAAGACAAAGTGGTTTTAGATCCTTGAGTCTCACTCTTCATGAATAAAAAAAGGCTGCAAACTCTTTAATGAGTGCCTGATGAGCTAAATCACAGACAGATCAATTACAGCCTGGGAAGACAAACTGCTATGGATTAAATTGTTAAGAGTGGTACAGGAGACTGGGGGAGGAGGAGAAGCAGAAGATGCTTTTGAAGCATGTGTTGAGGCCTTTTTCCAGTAACACAACAGGCTCACACCAGTCTTCGAGATGCACAAGCTTTAGGTCATGCTGGAAGGACCAGTCCTCTTTCCCTGGGATAAACACAGCAGAAACTTTGTTCCCCTCTCAAACTGATGCCATGGCCCAGGCAGTATATTCAGGAGGACTCTTTAGCTTCTGCTGAGGCAAGTGGTGTTCAAAGATCCATCTTTGCATTCACTCTATTCCCTCTTTGTCCTCCTTCAATGTTTCCAACTTTTTAACCCTTCCTTCCAAATATTTTCACCACCCAGCTGTTTCCTCTTACTCTAAAATTAGAAATATGTCAAGTTTCTCTCCATAACACCATGCAAACCTACATGCATCGAAAAACCCAGTAGGCATGCTGCCAAATTCACTGAAAAATACTTTGGCTCTTCACCTTTGATGGCTGTAGATCAGCAGACATTGGCTAAAATCCAGTGTCTGCAGGTCACTCCCCTGGGAAGCCTCATTTCAGAGTACAGCTTGGGGTGGCGCTGCCATTAAATGTTTTTCCTTCCTGCTTCTCGGCCAGTATGAGTCACCATTTACCTTAACAGCCTGGAAGCTTTTTGTCAGTCTCAAACATTTTAATTGATGCGTTCCCAGAAATGTTTCTGAGTACGTGGAGACTGCACACCCTTTGTAAGTGTAAAGCAGACATTTATTTATATTCAGCACTCTCCCCCCATATTTTAATCTGCTTCACAAGTTCTAAAATTAATTGGGAAGATTCCACCTTCCAACATCTCCCTAACTGTAGGATTTCTGGTTTTGCCTCTAAATAATTCTCCTTTTAGACAGCCAATATGCTTACTGCTGTCACAAGAAAGGCTCCAGCCTGGGAAAGTTCCTTCCATCTTACAGGGCTTAGATACCTGCTCTAAACATCCTTTGGTGTCCAGATTTAGTTTTAAATTGGCCCTGGAAGAGCAGGCACCAATCCCAGTCCTGCCTTTTTTTAACATCACAGTGCTATGAACACTGCATGGCAGTTATTCAGCTCTCCTACATGGGAATCGGGCAAGAAAATCCAGTGGACCTCAAATGTGAGCAGCAGAGCCAAATGTGATGCACATGACATGTCAGACAGATTTACACGCACAAGGGCAAAGCGCCGAGCTCCCTGCTCTGCTAAACTCCCACCCATCTCCATGGCAACTCCACTCCAGGAAAGCCTGACACAAAGCAGGCGGCTACTAACCACCCTCTCTGCTGCTGGTTAGCAGGCTTTGCAGAATTGCTGCTGAGAGCAAGTGGAGAATGTCACTGCTGCTGAGGATTTGAGTGCCTTTAGCACTCAGGCCCAGAGAGACGAACGGGGGTCAGGGTACAGATTAGCTTTTCCCACCCCACACCCATCCTCTGAAGAAGGCTATGATAATCTGCCGCTTGCCAAGACCCAAATTACTCTTCTGAGTGGTATTGGCCTCCAGAGCTAAGCTGGTGGAGAGCCACACAAGAGTAAGAGGAGACATGTGCCATCAGCATCAGGCTCTCATGTCCTTGTAGCTGCTGGAGACTATTAAATCCTCAAGAAAGCACAGCTGGCAGGAACTCGCTGCAGCCCACAAACCAGAGGCAAAGGGAGGATTAGTCATATTGCTGCCATACAATAGGACCTCACACATCAGGAGGGCTGCCCACTCTGCCAGCTCCCATATGAAGACAGGCTGTATCTGAGGCTTTCTAACAAGCATTCATTCATGTATTTAAAAAGCCATTTACCCATTCACTAGTAGCCAAAACAGTGTGTCTACGGTTTTGTAACTAAGATTAGGTACAGCCCTACTGATACTTCCAGCTTTTCTAGGGAAAGGACTACTGCACATTTCTCTCATGAAATTTTCCCTTCTATGCCCTTTAAGGATTTGGCACAGCTATAAAATATAAATATGAGAGTACATTCATTTTTAAAACAAATTATGCAGGTCTAATTAGGTGTGCATATGTAATCTTTAGAGAATTAATGGTATGTGAATTAGCCAGATGCTTGAATACATTCCTTAAGTTTGCAAAGAAAAGGAGAGAAAGAAAAAACACGAGACTTGTTTTTTTGTTCGTCTGATTTTAAATAAATCAGCATCTGTCTTGTAGTCGGTTTTCTCTGCAGGACTGTTGCAATGTGAATTGCAACCTGTCCTTTTCTGCGGCCTCTAAATTAGTTCAGATTTCCTTTTAAAAAGGACACCTGCTTCCTGCCACAGACTGATATTGCAAATGTTACTGCTGCTAGTAAGAACAATGAGAAATAGGAGTTACTAAAACATTATCCAAAGACTGGTTTTGATCACACCATAAAATACAGAACACAAAATACATCTGTATGCACATGGTGTGGGGGATGCTAGAGCAGGCAGCCTGCTCACTGAATGTCAGGTGGTACTCCACAGATAGGCTTTGCAGGATTTGCAGAAATACTATCTCTAGCAGGAATACCCTTCACATTGCACATCATTATCTCTCAGCCCACAGGACAACAAAAAGAAAATAGATCTGATCAATTAATTACTCTTTGTAATCAAGGGATTCACAGCCTGGGCCTTCAGTGGAGGTTTGGAAATTAATAACAAAAAAGCAAAAGCAAATAAAGCCCCATGTGCACATTCCAGCATGAATACAGTACAGTCCAGCACAAGTACAGTCCATTTCTGTTACGGGTACCAATGGAAAAAGCACCCTGCTGTGGACAGCCATGCCTGTGGAGGGCAGATGGAGAGCGATTGCTATCTGTATGCTGAAGGGACATGCAGAGAGAACTGGTGACATCTGCTCAAAGCCAGATTCTGTAGGAGACTGTTATCTGTCACAAGGCCAATGAAAACCTATCAGTTACCAGCAACTGAGGGTGAGCCTTTCTCTTCCATTATGTATTACACTTACAAGGATCCAAGGTAGATTCAGAAGAACAAAACCAGATATTTAACAGTGACCTGGTATTCTGGGATGACCTGCTTAGTGGCTGTAACCTGCCACTGAGCTGGGTACATGTTATACCTTATTAGGGTTCAAGATGATCCATCCCCATGCCAGTCCTGTGGCTGCAGCCCCTGAGGCTCTGCTCGGATTAATACACAGATGAACAGGAAGAAAGAGCTAGAAGTATCTTTGACAAGTATAATGCTAGAAGTATCTTAATGTTTCTGAGCATCACACAATCTTATTCCAACAGCCAGAACTCTGTCTTCCATACTGCTGGATCAAACTAAAATCTGAGAAAATGGGAAGGAGAACACCTTTCTCACCATAGGGCCCCACAGCATCTGAGAAACAACTATCTATACCTGCTGCCTCTCTTACAGAAGGCCACTTGCAAAATTCAGCTCTTCCCTGGTTTTATTGGTGACTGCATGCAGCAAATACTTGATGAAGCCCAGACAACGTGAAGATAAAGTCCACGGTGCAACTCCAGACTAAATAAGCAGTTCCAGAAGGCACATCATTGGCTACGAATCACAATGTTTTATGGGATCTGACCTTTAAAACTGCATCAGTTTTCAGAACACTATCCCTTTCAGTGCCTAGACAAGAGCTGGAAGCATTATGAGATACAAGCTGGGCTGCATCAGAAGAAACTTGTGTGCTGAAAGTTTGAAAGACTGTTTGTGCAGACACAAGAATACGAGGCATCCTGTTCTTTTATTGCCAAGAAAAGGGCAAACTATC